TTGCACGACCGCCCTACCCGGTGCGCGTGTTCCTGCCTGCCAGCCCGAACGTTTGCCCTGGTGCGTGCGTGCCTGCCTAACTTTCCATCCGCCCGACCACTTGCTGCCTGCCCGTCCACCCCCCATGCGTGCCTGCCTGCCTGCCCACCTGCCCGTCAGCCCACCCAAAGCCTGCCTGACAGCCCGACCTCTTGCCCCGGTGCATGCATGCGTGCCTGCCTCTCCACCCGTCCGCCCCCCATGCGTGCCTGCCTGCCTGCCTGCCCGCCTGCCCGTCCGCCCACCCAACGCCTGCCTGACAGCCCGAACCGCTTACCCCGGTGCATGCATGTGTGCCTGCCTCTCCGCCCGCCCAACCCCTTGCTGCCTGCCCATCCGCCCCCCATGCATGCCTGCCTGCCTGCCTGCCTGCCCGCCCGCCCCCGACGCCTTGCTGCCTTCCCCACCGCACGCCCCGTTGCACACGTGCCTGCCTGCCAGCCCGACAACCCGCCCCGGTGCATGTGTGCGTGCCTGCCTGTCCGCACATCCGCCTGTCCTCCCGTATGCCTGCCCGACGCCTTTTTGCCTGCCTGACCGCCCACTCTGGTGCACGCGTGCCTGCCTGCCTGCCAGCCCGACCGCTTGCCCCGGTGCATGCGTGCGTGACTGCCGCTCTGCCTGTGCGCCCATTCGCCCGTCCGCCCCGCCGACTCCTTGCTGCCTGCACGAACTCTCGACCCAGTGCGCGCATTCCTGCCTGCCAGCCCGACCACTTGCCCCGGTGCGTGCGTGCCTGCCTGTCGGCCCCCCACTGACGCCTTGCTGCCTTCACCACCGCCCGCCCCGATGCGTGCGTGCCTACCTGTTCGCCCTTCCGTCCATACACCTGTCCGCACCCCCCCGACCCCTTGCTGCCTGACCGACCGCACGCCCCGGTGCACGCGTGCCTGCCTGCCAGCCCGACCGCTTGTCCCAGTGCATGCATGCGTGCCTGCCTGTCCGCCGGTCCGCCCGTTCGCCCCCGACCCCTTGCTGCCTGCACGGCCGCCCGACCCAGTGCGTGCGTGCCTGCCTGCCAGCTCGACCACTTGCCCCAGTGCGTGCCTGCCTCTCCACCCGCCCGACCCCTTGCTGCCTGCCCGTTCGCCCACCCAAAGCCTGCCTGACAGCCTGACCGCTTGCACCGGTGCGTGCATGCGTGCCTGCCTCTCCACCAACCCGACCCCTTGCTGCCTACCCGTCCGCCCCCCATGCGTGCCTGCCTGCCTGCCCGCCCGTCCGCCCACCCAACGCCTGCCTGACAGCCTGACCGCTTGCCCCGGTGCGTGCATGCGTGCCTGCCTCTCCACCAACCCGACCCCTTGCTGCCTACCCGTCCGCCCCCCATGCGTGCCTGCCTGCCTGCCTGCCCGCCCGTCCGCCCACCCAACGCCTGCC